TCAGGGTATTTTGACAGGTGGGTTTCCTGCTTCGCTGCAGCTGTGTAACCAGTCACTTCCTTTGACCTTTTTTGGCGGCTTTTCCGCGGCGGCCGTCCTTGGGGGTCACAGAATCAGAGAAACGGCCGCAGAGCTGCGCATTCGCCGATTGGTTTTTGAGATGCAATGATCCCCTTTGTCCAGAATGCTCTGGTCGACCGGTTTCCTTCCCTTCCCTTGGACTCACCAAGCTCTTCGCCACCTTGGGTGGGGAAAGGCGTGTTGCAGCGCCCGCCCTCTAGGCGGCGCCAAGCCGGGCTGACTCGCCCAAAGCTGTTTCATAGCCTGGGCTGGCGGAAAGTCCTCGCTGCCAGAGAACCTGACCTCAGCAGCAACTCCTGGCATCGAGCCGAGGGGCATCCGGTTATTCGTCGAAGGCTGTGGAAGCCGGGGTGCGGTCAGAGGCTCACCAGTTCCTTACTGAGCGAACACGTACATGGCTTCGATGGAAACATGCCGTGGGTGGAAAAGAAAGAGGAGAATTCCTTGAAAAGCATCAATATTTTTAAAGCAGGGTTTAATTTTTGTTGGCATTGTTTCTTTAATGATGGCCTAAGAGATACCCGGCAAAATGCTTCATGTCTTTTACTAACAACGCTTTTGAAGCTCACCACACTGTAGCACGCATGGGCGGTTCCTTTTCAGGGCCAAATAATATTCCACTGCATGAACTCGTGACGTTTTTTATCCATTCACCAGCTGATGGACAGTTGAGCTGTTTCCACCTTCTGGCAACTGTGGTGAGCACGGCTACGAACGTCCACGGGACAGGGCTCATTTGGACACCTGTGCTCGGTTCCTTGGAGCAAAGACCCGGGATTGGAACGGCTGGGTCTCGAGGCAAGTCCAGGATGATCTTGTCAAACTCGGTCATGGTGACGGTTGCACAACAGTGTAACTTTATTAAAAGTCATTGAACGCGGCCTGGCCAGTGGGGCTCAGGGGTTGAGCATCAACCCAGGAGCCAAGAGGTCACCGGTTCAGTTCCTATTCAGGGCATGTGCTGGGGTTGCAGGCTCCATGCCCAGTAGGGGGCGTGCAGGAGGCAGCCGATCCGTGTTTCTCTCTCCTAGATGATTCTCTCCATCTCCCTTCCTCTCTCTAAGAATCAATAAAAACATATTTTAAAAATTTAAGTAATTGAATACACATTTAAATTGAATTTTATAGCATGGATATTAAAAGTGGTTAAGATATAAAAGACCGTTACGTCTTTTGAGAATGATTTCATCACAGGGATGTGCCTGCTTTCCTAAGAGCTACTGGACAGGATGACAAATGTTCGCTTTTTCAAATGCTTGGGCCAAACTCTTTGTTCCTAGACCTTGCGCCCAGGCCTGTGTTCCCGGTGCTTCCTTTAGGCTGGGTTCCCAGGAGAGACCCTGCGACACCCACTGCCCACCGCCTGGCTCTCGCAGCCTGTCCTCCAACATGCTGGGCTCAAGGTCACCCGGCCCCCCTGCAGGGTTGGGACCGCCCCCCCCCAGTTAAAGACCGACGGGCTCCGGAAGGTGCGAGACAAACCAGCAAAGCCGGGCCTGGTCTCCTTCCGAGGAGCCTAAGGAACGAAGTTGTTTTGAAAACTATGAAAATAAAAGGAGGGGACGCAGCATTTCTCCTGAGTTCCTGGAAAAGCCGGGGTCAGAGATCAGACCATCTGGGGAGCACACGCCTAAAGCAAACAGAGGGGAAAACAGCCCCCCGACGTGATGTCACCCCAATTGACGTCTTTATTGTCCCACAGGAACGGTCTCAGGTGTTGCCGGCATGTTTACACCAAAAATCACAGAGGGGGTGACACCCTAGGCAAGCGGCTGGGCTCTTGGGGGCAGAATAGGTCAGGGGCAGCTAGGAGCTCAGCACAAGTCCCCGTGGGGCGTGTCGTACCTCCAGCGACCACCGGGGCAGCCAGGGTCCCCCCCTCCCCCCTGTCCCCCCCG